TTATTTGGTAAGAACTCAGAACAGGTCATTTTCCTTCCAGTGTGTGCTATAAATATACACCCTAGAATGATGCTTCTGTCATTTATAGTCAGCATGGTGGAGATAAGAACTGTAAAAAATGCATCTGAGGTTTGAGAAAGATTGAGTTATGTGGTTTAACTTGCCCCAGAAATCTGGCTTCCTGAGTTATCACTAAGGTGATTACTAAACCCTAAGGAAATAAAAGTATCTTCTAGAAAGTAGCATCATACCTTTTTTCTTCCAATTACATTTTGGATATGAGGTCCTGTCTGTAAAGCAATTAATTGCTGCTGAAAACAGGGCTAAATTTGAGGCCCCAAATTCCATCTTGAATACTGACATGTCTCTTTAGGACAACTATGAACCACCATTAAATACTGACCCATTATATTATAAATAAATGGAAGTATTACCAAACTCTACAAAACCCCAGTAACTTAATTGGAAAAGTATCTGAAGTTGGTATGAGCACAGTACTCACAGTATTTCTGTTCTGAGAAGAGTGCTCATAAGTAAGATGCACCTATAAAACAATGTGACTGGGTTCAATTTTAAAAAATGTGTATTTTGGAAGATCACACTATTATTTTTTTTAAAATTTGGTTTCAGAATTAGCATGTCAAGAGAATTTGATAAGACATTTAAAAATATGACATGTGAAATTATATTTTTATTTACTTACTGGATTTATATTATATATTAAATCTGTTTGCCACCCATCTCAATATGAGGTGATTGGCTTACAATGTTAAAAAGAATAAAACTATACAGAAATGTATATATAATAAGAATAAATTACTATAAAATGCAAACTGTCAGGTATAACTGAAAGATGGGAGTAGGATGAGCATGGGTGGGTGGGGAAATGAGATCTGTTGTTAATCTATCAATCACCCCAGAATGACCCTCCCCTATTGGACCAAGCCAACTGGCAGAACCAGGTCTTCAAGCTCTTGCGGAAATTCAGGAAGGTGAGAGCTGATCTCACAGGGGGGGTGGGAGCAAGATGTTCCAAAGGGCAAGAGCAATGGCAGAGAAGGCTCTGGACCCTGCCAACCAGAATTCACTGGCCGAGGGGCCCACACTATGCATTCTCTCATGGAATGGGTGGGGCAGGCCAATCACATTGGGATGAGACAGTTCCTTAAGTAACCACCCATGTCCCTATTCAAGGCAACTCTGGTCTTACAATGTGATAAAATTATAAATATAAAAGCATTAAAATTAACAATTAAATAAAGATTAAAAAACAAGAGAACAGACATTATTCCACAAATACCTCCAGCATAGCATGTCCCCATTGGTTACCCAAGCCAACTGGCAAAGGCAGATTTTAAGGCCCTTCCAAAAGGTCAAAACTGGAGTATTGGATCTCACCTCTGAGAGTAAGATGTTCCAGAAAGCAAGGGGTCATGATATAAAAAGCTCTTCTCAAAGACCTTGCTGGTTGAAATTTCTTGTCCGTTGGGATCTGCAGCAAGCTCCTTCTGTCAGAGCAAGTGGGGTGGGCCAATCCCAGCAAACTAGCTACAATTAAAAAACAGCACATAAAAGCACGCTCAAATACAATGGCAATAAAACCACCAAACAGAATTGCCAATTAAAATGTGCAAATATAAGAAAATAAAACACAATTCAAAGCAAAATAGGAAAAAAATAAAAGGACAAAAGTAAATTCTGGTGACATTATTCCAAGGTTAAGACACCTTGAACATTCTTATAGTAATATCTGCTTATAAAAACTTGGCAACTCTGTGATAATGGCTACATCAGAAAGTTCAACAATATAAGTTACTTTTTCCTCACTGAAAACACAGATAGATAGATAGATAGATAGATAGATAGATAGATAGATAGATAGATAGATAGATAGATAGTAGATAGATAGTAGATAGATAGATAGATAGATAGACCTTTATTGTCATTTTTTACTGTGGGCACATTGGCACACATTACAAATGAAATTTTGTTTATTGCTCTCAAAAGTGTACACATATATAACACACATTTGAACATGCTATATACAAGATATGCATAAATATACATCCTTATATATAAATAACATATAAATATTAATCACTCTCACCTTGAATACATAGTGGAAAGAGGAAGCTTGAGAGTTCACAAGGTTAATACTGTACGGAAGAAAACTGTGACTGAATCTGGATGTTCTGCTTCAGATACCACGAAGCCTCCTCCCAGAAGGTAACAAAGAAAACAGATTGTGAAGAGGATGTGTAGTATCCCAGACAATCTTGCAGACCCTGCCCAAACAACACTTATATGCTACGTCCTTGATGAATGGGAGGGAACAGCCAATGATCTTTTCTGCCATCCTCACCACTCTCTGCCCCGCCTTCCTGTCTGATGATTATCTATCTATCTATCTATCTATCTATCTATCTATCTATCTATCTATCTATCTATCTATCTATCTATCCTTCCAAAACAGATTGTAATGCTGTATGACAGGATGCTCTTGATCATCCCTCTGTAGAAAGTGGTAAGGACAGGAGAAGGAAGATGTACTTTTCTCATGCAAAGCATGATCTGTACTAAGGGGCGGCACTTATTCCAGCTCATAAATTCTTACAGAAAAGTCAGTGAAGAAATACATGCACCAGGATCTCTGGTTCATTTTGATCACAGGGACAATTTGTCTAATTAAACAGATTTTATGAAACCATCCATCCAATATTGCTAAGGGTAGGACACTAAAGTAGCCCAAGAAGTGAAAACAATAGGGATTACTAAGCACGTCAAACTGAATATGTAGTTTGCAGGTCTAAAAGGTTTGCAGGAAGGAACCCAACCCTATAGATTGCCTATAGCATTCAATTCTACCTGATATGCAATACACTTTGGTGAAGGAGGGGGAAGGTGTGTTGGATATGTTCACTGCCTTAAGTTATTTATTTAGCGTATGGGGATGTACAGAAAGCCAGGAGTTTACTGCGTCAAAAAAAGTAGATGTTCAGCAGATGATGGGATCTGGAAACAATCACCAAGGCACTTCTGAGTATTAGCTGGTGTTATCACCATTGCCCAATGGAGGCTCCCCTCTTTCATCCCCACAAGGATTCCAAACAAAGTGGTGTCTATTTATCTACTCACATTTGTACATGTTTTCATAATGCTATATGGGCAGGAGCTGAAATGAGTGGCGGGAGCTCACCCTGCCACACAGTATTTCAAGTCTCAAACTTGGATTTGCTGATCATCAAGCCTCAGTTCTAACCACAGACCCCTCCCCATGCCTCTTTGCCACCTTGAGCTATTTGTAAAAATAATATAGGTGGGATAGAAATTTTGTTGTTGTTAGTTGCGAAGTCGTGTCCGACCCATCGCGATCCCATGGATGTTCCTCCAGGTCTTCCTGTCCTCTACCATCTTCTGGAGTCCATTTAAGCTCACGCCTACTGCTTCAGTGACTCCATCCAGCCATCTCATTCTCTGTCGTCCCCTTCTTCTATTGCCCTCAATCTTTCCCAGCATTAGGCCCTTCTCCAGTGAGTTCTTTCTTCTCATTAGGTGGCCAAAGTATTTGAGTTTCAACTTCAGGATCTGGCCTTCTAAAGAGCAGTCGGGGTTGATCACTTCTAGGAATGACCGATTTGAATGCCTTGCAGTCCAATGGACTCGCAGGAGTCTTCTCCAGCACCATAGTTCAAAGGCCAATTCTTTGTTGCTCAGCCTTTCTTATGGTCCAACTTTCACATCCATACATTCTACTTCTTCTTGTGCCATATCTGTTATTGGACGTTGGTGATCATGTTGGTGATCCTGTTTTTATCAGCAGCCGCACGAAAAAGTGCTGCTGAGTTTTGTCCAAACCAGTCCCTTAGATTTTGAAGCCACAATGTTCTTCTTCTGCAACTGGGAAAACCATGGCCTTGACTACACGCACTTTTGTTGGCAGAGTGATATCTCTGCTTTTTAGTATGCTGTCTAGATTTGCTTTCCTCCCCAGGAGCAAGCGTCTTTTAATTTCTTGGCTGCAGTCCCCATCTGCGGTGATCTTGGAGCCCAGGAAATTAAAATCTGTCATTACCTCCATTTCTTCCCCATCTATTGGCCAGGAATTGAGAGGGCCAGATGCCATGATTTTGGTTTTCTTAATGTTGAGTTTCAAGCCAACTTTTGCACTCTCCTTCTTCACCCACATCAAGAGGTTCTTTAGTTCCTCTTCACTTTCTGCCATTAAGAGTGGTATCATCTGCATATCTTAAGTTGTTGATATTTCTCCCAGCAATCTTAATTCCAACTTTTGATTCATGTAGCCCTGCCGTTCTCATGATGTGCTCTGCATGTAGTTAAATAGGCAGGGCGACAGTATACAGCCTTGCCGGATTCCTTTTCCAATTTTGAACCAATCAGTGGTTCTGTGTCCAGTTCTCACTGTTACTTCTTGACCCGCATATAGGTTTCTCAAGAGACAAATGAGATGGTCTGGTACTCCCATCTCTTTAAGAACTTGCCACAATTTGTTGTGATCCACACAATCAAAGGCTTTAGCATAGTCAATGAAGCAGAAGTAGATGTTTTTCTGGAACTCCATGATCCAGCATATGTTGGCAATTTGATATCTAGTTCCTCTGCCTTTTCGAAATCTTGCCTGTACTTCTGGTAGTTCTCAATCCACATACTGCTGGAGTCTAGTTTGTAGGATTTTAAGCATAACTTTACTAGCATGTGAAATGAGTGCAATGGTGTGATAGTTTGAACATTGTTTGGAATTGGAATGTAAACTGGCCTTTTCCAATCCTGTGGCCACCGTTGAGTTTTCCAAATTTGCTGGCAAATTGAGTGTAGTACTTTTACTGCATCGTCTTTTAAGATTTTGAATAGCTCAGCTGGAATATTGTCATCTCCACTAGCTTTGTTGTTGCTCAGTTTTCCTAGGGCCCATTTCACTTCACATTCTAGGATGTCTGGCTCGAGGTCAGTGACCACCCCATCGTAGTTATCTGGGACGTTAAGCTCGTTCTACACAGTCCTTCTGTGTAGTTTTGCCACCTCTTCTTAATCTCTTCTGCCTCTGTTAAATAAAGTAAGATAAATAATAAATCCTAGCTTTTCCTTTTTTTTAGGTTTAAATGTAGTAATGAGCCACAGGAACAAAAAGAGAAAGACAGAGATCAGCTGAGATTTTTACCCTGCATCTTGATGAAAAGTCACCAAAAGGAATTGGTGTCAATGGACATCAGAAAACCTAAGTGTGAGTCAATAAGAGTTGGCATACAAGGACTGATACCTCTGGTGAGATCATTCCCATTGACATGCAAGTCAAAAGAGTATAAACCATCCAGTTATCCTGTGGTAAGATGGGTGACCAATACATTTTATAAAAAATTAACCCATTTGAAACGCAGCATGAGACCTGGAAAAATTCTTGAAAAAACTCTGAACAGAATCTAAGGACTTTAAGTCATTGTGGATAGATATGTGTGTGCTATACAGCATTTGATTTAGCTTGAATGAGTTTATTGGCTAAAAACATATATCTACTATTGTTAGGATATAAGAAACCTAGGATTGCACTCTTATTAGCTTTAGCAGAAATGACTCTAGATTGTTCTTACCAACTCCCAGAACGTTAACCACTGATCTTTATAGCAGCTAGATGTTCTCAAGAAAAGAAAAGAAATAATTTTGAATTAAGGCTCTTGCCTCTGCAGAATTTTGTTAAGGCCTGAAAATTTTCCTAAGGGCCACCTACGTAAGCAAGAGCTTAGTGAAGTAAATTTTTTTCTTTCTTCTTTTTTTTGATAAGTACAGCAAGTACAGAAGTCTATATAAAATATTAAACTGTAGGAAAGGCCACAAGCATCTCTTTCATTCCTCAATAGATTGGAATATTGGAATATCTGTAGTATATTAAGACAACCAGCTTTATTGCACAGAATTTAACTCCGGTTATTAAGCATTTGATAAAATGAACTGCAGCTCACAACAGCTTATGTCTTTTAATAAATTCTGTTATTTAGAAAAGGTGCTTTCAAAATGTTCTGATTTTTTGCACCTGGTTCTCCTACAGAGAATATAAATTTCTGTGTGCAGCAGGGGGCAGTAAATAGTTTGCCTGATTTCAAGAAAGCTATCAGGATTATACCATACCTGCATGGGAAAAGACAATAGCAGGGTTGTAGAATTGAAAACAATCAAATGGAAGAATCTCTTGCTATAAAGTCACTAAGATAAAGTTTTATTATGCCATGAAATAACAAGACTTTTAAGCTACTTTGGACAGATCGATTCTCACTGTTTATTTGTCCTTCACCACACTCTCTCCAGCAACAGTTCACTTGAGAGCTAACCACAGAGTATTATTAACAGTAGCCCTTCAGAGCCATTCTATGAGATTGGTTATTTTTTTGATTTACATAGTTGCCAATCTCATATCTTGAGAAACAATTATAAATCAGATTACTCAGTATTTAGAGTGAAATGTCAGGGGCTATATTTAAGATGAAGTTTAAAAACTTGCACTCATTTAAATGCCTTTCTATTCCTGTTTTTGTTGAAAGAAAAAAAAATAGGGGGCCAGTTATAAAATACCTGGGCTTTTGATTTATACTAATTTTATAGGACTCACAACTGTTAGTTTGGACTGCAAGGTAAGTTTTTACATAAATTTCAAAATGTCCGTTGACATCTCTTTGTCAGGCTTGTGACAAAGCAGGCTTTCCAACATCGTATTTGATTCTGTACCACAGTATCTTTTCAAACGTTCAATATTTGTAAGATAAATCTCAGCAGGGACCATTTGGAAAAAGAGGTTCATAGAAAGCTAAGCCCAAAAAACCAACCGTGAATCGGAGCCATGATTACATTGCAAATCAGCAACATCCCCCTCCAACCCGCCCCCCAAAATCAGCTTTCCGAGTCTGGCAGGTTCCGATACAGCACAACCCGTGGTTCTTAAACAGACCCGGATGAAGTCCCCCCTCAGCCGCAGAAGCTCACTGAATGACCCCAATGTCCGCGTCCACACCTGAAGGGGCTGCTGTCAGAGAAGCCCGAAGGCGGGTGTGAAGCTTCTGAGGGAAAGGCGAGATATAGTAAATCGAGGAACCGCAGCAGCATTAGCCGGACTATTGTTTTCCTCTGTAGATATAGCAATTTTTTTAACCCATTCTGAAAAAGGCTTCTCTCAAAAGAAAGAAGAGAGAGAGAGAACGGACCTCCACTACACCTGTGGCCAGAAAGCAGTGCAGACTCACCTAACAAAGTGAGAGCCCCGCGCAGATTAAAGTCTGACTGCGCCTGCGCAATCCAAACCCTGTGCTGCGCCGGAGGAAACCGTATTTATTCATTTATGTAAAGGAACGGCAGTGGCGTGGTTGTTTGGCCCTTCTCGTGTTCCATACATGGGGCGAAACCAACTCCCCTCGCAGCCTGGGAGGGGAGGAGAAGTAAAAAGAGTAATGAAAAGAGGTCAGGTTATTGGTGTTAGCCCATGACGTGCTGTCTGACAGAACGACTTGACACTGAGAAAAGGAGGGAAGAAACGGTTGCCTTTCAGCCTTGGAGGGCGTCAAGAAAGAGTGGTGAAATGGTGGCGCCCGCTCTGCCCCCGCTCGCGCTGAGCCAATGGGAACCCAGAGGGTGGGGTTCAACAGGCAGCCGTGGCGGCTGGGTAATGGCAACCCTGTGAGGGGGGTCTGGGAGAGCAGTCTGCGCGCGAGATACACACGGTGCGGCGAGGGCGTGGGGACGCGACGCTGACCCAGGCCTTTCCTGTTGCCAGGTAACAGCAAAAGGGAAGAGGGTGAGGGTAGGGGGATGCTCTTCCTTCTCCGATCTTCCCTCCCCCCGCGACAACTCCTTTCATCGCTCCCCGGAGGATCCGGTGCCTCCCTGCCTCTCTAGTCCCTCTTACCTCCGGCTTCTTTCTCTTGGGGGGACGGAACTGATGCATTGACCCTCGGCTGATCAAGCTACCAGCCTCCCCGGCCTCATTACCTTAGCCGATTATCGCTTGCTTCTCCCCTTTCTCGGTCTCGGTATTAAATGTGAGTATGCGAACGCGTCCGTGCGTGCTTGTGTCTGGAGCTAGAGATGGTGCAACCCGTGTTTAGAGCGGATCGGCTGACATCCTTGCCGAGTTAGTCACTTGAAATCGGCAGGACGTAAAAGCTGCTGGGTGGGGATGCTGGAATAGGCACCAAGCAGGCCCTGACCCGGCAAGGCATCAACCAAATCCGTGCATGATTGAGAAAACTCGGTTAGGATCATCCGGTCCACACCAGTGTTTTTGTTTTTGCCCTCATTGGGGGGGGGGAGATGGCTGCGGGGGAAGAGAATATTTGCATGATCCTGAAAGCAAACCGGCTGATTCAGTGTTAAAAACATGTTATATTTCCTTTAATCTAGGTGAGATAAGGTTATGCCTTCAAACTCCGGGATGTCCCAACTTCTGCCGGTTTCTTGCTTGTCGATCCCGAATAAAGGATGCAAAATGTTAAATGCTGGTTGGATCTTAAAGTTAGAGAGCATTTAAATTTTACATCGAAAGACATTTTTCTATAGCGTTTCCTTCATGAGGATGGCCTCATGCCATTATCTTCCAGACGGATATTTACTTTACTTTCGCAATGCTGAAAAAAGATAACAGGAGATTGTGCTCTAATTTAGAGTTTGTGATATAGAAAGGCAGGCAGTTTATAGCGCATGGGAAAAAGTAATTTACTGACAAGACCATGATCATTACAAATATTATATCACTTATACTCATTCTAATGATGTAATGTTTTATAAAAAAGTGCTCAAGTTGTACTTATGAACCATTACTCCCAATTACATGACAAAAGTGGTTCACCAATTTGTCTTTTTGTCTTGTTTTAATTGGCCATATGAAAAGTTAATTTAGGGGTACCTGCAATAGCCTAGCTATTTGCTTTAATTAAACTATTATAACACCCAACATGCTCTTCAGATATCATTATATATTACAAAATATAATAGATAATAGAAATAAGCTATTTTTCTTGATACTATTATTTTTATACTCTTTCACCTAAAAGGTTTTGCTTGAAATTGATCTATTTGAGTTTCATCCAAAATATCCTCCCCTCTTAGAATTTATAATTCAGGTGGGAGTAGTAATATTATAAGGATAAATCACCAGTAGTTGCAACTTTTTAGTAGTAGTAAAGTTCAGTAGTAGTAGTAAAGTTCAGAGAAGTATTTGAAGAAAACCAGCCTTTCTAGCAATATAGGATCTTTTTGACATAGATATTGTAACAAAAAATTAAGATTAATATTTCAAATATATATAATCATATTTGCAACAGATATAATTAATTTGGATTTTTTTTGCAGATTCATTTTACTTCCCCACAATGTCCTTGAAACCACGAGTAGTTGATTTTGATGAAACATGGAACAAGCTTCTCACAACTATTAAAGCTGTTGTTATGCTGGATTATGTTGAAAGAGCAACGTGGAATGATCGCTTCTCGTATCCTTTTATTAGAGGACAGATATTGATTACACAGGATTAAGTAATGTACAGAAATTGATTTTTTTACAGAATTCAGAGCTGAATAAAATATATTCAGCATTAGCTCTAGCACCAATAGGTTTTATAATATGTCTGTTAAGAATTATGCATTATATATATAGTAGATTAAGCAAAGTCTAATAATTTGCTAAGAATGGTAAATATGTCTAAACTTTAAAGAGTACATTTGGTATATAATTCTATGCAGTCTCTTCTGAATAGAAAATGCAATTTCTAATTAAGAAAATATGGTTCTAATCAAACCCACCAGTTGTTTTCACTGTTCTTGCTAACCTCATTTGAACTACTGTTAAGCTTTATTCTGATCCTAACAAGAAGCACAGCACAGCAAAGGGGAAGAGTCTGCAGGTGGATTTTCATTTAGAATTATTTTGAAGAAAATTAGACTGGCTAGAACTAGAGAATCATGTGCTCTGGAGGAAATGATAGATGCTTGTCCATCTAGCGGTTTTGGATCTTGTAAACTTCTGTTAAAGGGCTATAGATTAGTAAATCATATATTATTTGTGCTTGGCCTAATGTGTTGTGCTGAGTTGGATATAATCTATCTGCAGTTCATAGATAAACTTTATTATTATATGAGGGTGTCCATGATAGGAAAATTAAAGTTGTTTATGGAACAGAAGAACACTATAGCTAGGAAGTGAAAGTTCAGGAAATCTTTCAGGCACTGTATCAGTAGCCATAGATCCAGTCAAACTACTGAACTGGAATTTATACACCATCATTTATACACCATTTTTTTAAATGTAGTATATAATTCTAGCCATTTCAGTTTGTAAACCATGGGTTAAGCTTAGTGTATTATATGTTGCGGGATGCTCTCCTTTATTGATTTCATGTAGTATGGCTAACTATAATGTGAGAAGCTAGCAACTGTCTATGTTAGTACCAACTTTTTAAAAATGTTCCTAATGACATGTATGATTTTTACTTTAAAGGGGTCCTGTGCTTCTGTCCCCAGCCTTTTCTCTAGATTAATATTAACTTAATTCATTAATGTTTTTTAACTATGGTTTGAGAAAGAAAGCAAAAAAGAATGCTCTCAAAGATTTTGATGGATAATTAATACATTTTCAATCATCCTTAGTAGATGTGGCATATATATCTAGGAAAAAAATCTTGTATCTTACTTAAAAATATAGATTGCTTTACTCTCTTTAATCAGATGGAAGCAGTGTTTAATTGTATCATAGATTTTAATCCCTCTTTTAATTAAGAAATGCTCCTTGTGGAACTGAAAGCAAGATTAAGCATGCTTTGGACATTGAGTGTCCCAGTATAGTTTCTAGTCTTTTGGAAAAGAGCAGTGGAAATGCCACATAGTACTTTTATTTGAAGCAGTAACTCCCTTTCTCTTACCTTTTGACCTTCACATCTCCTCTGTTCGAACCACTCCAGAAGTGAGATATTTCTGGCCCTGCTATGTTTGTGCCACCCTCCCAGCAGATGTATGACAACTTAAGTCTGTTTCTAGAAATAACTGAATGTTTTATGATTTCATTTTGTAGAATAATATAACTGTTTTTTATGTATTGGGTACAGGTTGTCTTCAGAATGTTGATTTTTTTTTCACACTAAGGAGCTTTTTTAAAATTCAATTCTACCCTTTCCTTTATTTATTTATTGCCAAATAAATAAGACCATTTCTTTTTGCACATGGTCTTGTGACTTCCCCTTGACTCTGGCTTCATTCAATCGCTTTCCACAAACTCTTGCTATTTATTTACCCCAATATTTGTCAAACTATACAATTGAAAGAGACTGTACAGCCACATAAGTCCTGCCCTTAACCTCCATTTGAACACTGCAATAAATAACACCATCAGTCTTGGTAATTGGTTCATTGTCAACCTGCTGTGTTAAGAAGTTTTTCCTGTCTTTTAGTGAGAAAGTTTTACTTACTATTTGTTAGGTTTTTTTATTCCACCTTTATTACTTTAAGAGTAACTCAAGGCAGGGAACATACATAATACTCCTTCCTGCTCCTATTTCCCAACAACAACCTTGTGTTGAGTTGAGAGAGTGACTGGCCCATTCCTTCAGGCCTCCTGTGAGACTAGAACTCAAGGTTTCTAGCCTGAGCCACTTTAACCACTAGACCAAGTTGGCTCCTGTAGTTTCAAACATGGTCTGCAACAAGGAAAAACATTTCATGGCCTCCCAAGTGTATAAAAAGTGTTATCATATCTTTCTTCAATCGTGTTTTTTCCAAGTCTGTTCCAAATTCTTTGACGAAATCGGGTGTTTTTGTTTAGGAGCTAAGACCATGGTGATCTATAAACTGCAAATGAGCGTGACTTTCAACTTAGCACAGAAGCAAAACAATTTTTGGAGACATATACTTTCCTTCTATGTTGTATTCTAGCAGTAGTGGTAGGTATTCAGGCTAAATATCCACAAAAATGCTAAGTAAGCCCTTTAAAAAGTTGGCACAGGAAGGACAGAATTTGAGCAGCTAGGTTTGGTGGGCTAGTGAGTAACAGACTTGTGCTCCAGAGTTGAACAAATCATTTGGTCTTTAGAAAATAGTGGTTTGGAAGATAATTTCCTTTCCATAGATTCAGTCCAAAGGGCTTTTACACAATATCCCATGAATACATGGATGCTTTGCACTTAATCCCTTGTAGTGCCATATTTTGGAGAAAGTTCTCCTTTCTACCCCCAAAGTGTTCTCTACACTTTCTGAGAAACAGGGATCATGGGATTTTTTTTTCCCAGTAGCCTGAAAATTTTGAAAATTACGGCTCTTCAGCTGGAAAGGCAAATATAAGACATTGGTTTTCTTTTTCCTTTCTATCAATATTTCATTAGAACTTGAGTTACAACAACATAAAACATTGTAACCTTGACTTAATACCCAGGGACATATATGCTTTATGTGTGGCCTATCCCGAACCTCTTGGAGAAAGACTTTATATGGAAACTAAAATATTTTTGGAAAATCATGTACGCCATTTGCACAAGGTAACTATGGAATGGATAAAAAGAAAATGTTAATGCTGCTTGTCAGAATTAAGTAGCGTGCAAGCTATTTTATAATCTGCTGGAAGAAGACAGCCATTTATTTTTATTTTCTGAAACGTGATATAAAGGTGTTAATATGTTATGTATCCCCCAAATATTTGAAATAGTTCATAGAGTTGAATTTATTACACAGAGAGTTGCTTTTTAACATTTCAAATACAGTAGAGCATGAATAATAAAATTTAATCTTTTCCTCTGTTTTTTTTTTTCATAGAAAGTCTTGGACTCTGAAGAAAAAATATTGGTAATGTATTATAGAAATTGGGATGAATACAGTAAAGGGGCAGATTACATGGACTGTTTATACAGGTAAGTGCATTTTGAACTTATTCTGGAATTTGGAAATGTAATTACTCTTAATTGAATTATGGTTTTGATCCATTATTTTGACGCTTGCCGTGAACATCCTTACCGAATTTTCATGGGGAGAAT